ATAGCAAATTGAAGTTCAAGCTCTCAACTAGCAACACATTAGAAATGCTCATATTATTGGATATTACAATCTTATCAAACCCTTTGACTTTGCCTTTGCCATTGTCACAAAATGTGATACTATTATACCCATCATTGCCATTGGTATTGATTGAGTTAAACTTTCTTGCATCACCGGTCATGTGTTGAGTGCACCCACTATCAAGAACCCAATGTTTTCCTCCGGCTTTAAATTGACCTACAAAGGAAGATCAATTCTTTTTAGATACCAAAACTTGCTTGGGTCCTTGAAGGTTAGTGACCAAGCTCTTTGGCACCCAAATAGCTTTCTTCTTTGAGCCCATCCATGATGCACCAATGAACTTAGCCTTCACACTATTTGTACCCTTAATAAGCACATAGAAAGAATTAAGCCTAATTGAGGATACATTAGCATTCTTGTTATTGGTCTTGCACTCATGCTCTTTATGACCAAATTGCTTGTAACTAGTGCAAAACCGACCATTGTTCTTCACAAAACTAGTCTTGTGAGGAGCAAAGGCCGCCTTGTCTTTCTTGGGGGTATAGCCCAATCTCTCTTTGTAGAAAAAAGCTCTTTGGATACCTAAGCATGTAAGCAAGTGGTCCTCACCACCATAGGCTTTGTCTAAGGCGCGAGTGAGCTCATTGACCTCCTTCTTGAGAGTTTCATTCTCAACCATTAGTGAGGCATCACAAGTGAAACCATCACCACTAGATAAGGTAGAAGTAGATGTGCTTCTCAACCATTCGTTATGCATTGAGCTCATCAAAGGCTTTCTTAAGAGCTTTTAGTTCCTTTCGCAAGTCTTTGCATTCCCTTCTCTTAATGTCAAAATGTTCTTTAGCATCTTCTAACATGTTAATTAGTTCATCTTTAGTTGGTTCATCTTCATTGTCACTTTCACTTTCATTATCATGTTCCTCATTACTTCTATCATCACAAGTTTATACCTTAGTGGCCTTAGACATAAAGCATGATGGAGTATCGAAGAGAGAAGTCTTCTCATTGTTAGCAATACTTTCAAGAGCCTTCTTCTTGATGGTCTTGTCATCATCACTATCATCATCATCACTTGATGAAGCATCACTATCCCAAGTGACCACATATGAACCACCCTTCTTCTTCTTGAAGGTCATCTTGTCCTTTTCTTTCTTTTCTTTCAAGTCCTTCTTGCTCTTCTTGTTGTCATCATCATTGTCGGTATTGTATGGGCATTGAGCAACAAGATGATCATTGCTTCCACAATTGAAGCACCTTCTTGACACTTTCTTGTTATTGGATGAAGACTTCTTCCTTCTAGCACGGTAGCCCTTCTTCACCATGAACTTGCCAAATCTCTTGACAAAGAGAGCAATCTTCTTATCATCCAGCTCATCAAAGGTTAAGTCTTCATCTTCACTTGATGATTCTTGCTTTGCCTTGCCCTTGGATGATGTGGCCTTGAATGCCACACTCTTCTTCTTCTCATCCTTCTTCTCATCTTTCTTCTCCTTCTTTTCTTCCTTCTCATCATCATCTCTATATGTGTCATCGGTCATCACATCTCCCAACACTTGGTTTGGTGTCATGGTGTCCAAACCACTCCTCACTAGAATAGTGACCAATATGCCAAATCTCAAAGGTAAGCATCTCAAGAACTTGTGGGAAAAGTCCTTGTCCTTCACTTCTTCTCCAAGTGCTTTGAGATCATTGACAAACACTTGAAGCCTATTGAACATCTCCGGCACACTCTCATCATTCTTCATCTTGAAACTAGCAAACTTCTCCTTGAGGATGTATGCCTTGGCACCATTTACGGCTTGAGTGCCCTCAAATGATTTCTCCAACTTCTTCTATGCCTCATGAGCTATCTCAATGTTCTTGACTTGCTCAAATGTTCTCTCATCCAAAGCATCATAAATGGCACTAAGAGCAATGTTATTGTTTTGGAGTAGCACTTCTTCGGCGGCGGTGGGAGCCTTTTCATTGGCAATTTCAATTTTGGTCTCCACCACCTTCCACATCTTTCTATTGACTGGCTTGATATATGTTGTTATCTTAGCCTTCCAGTAAGAATAGTTGGAACCATCAAATTGGGGCAGCTTCTTAGTGTTGTTGATTTGAGCCATTTTGACACCGAAGGTTGCTAATCCTTAAATCACGGTGACCATGGCTCTTATACCACTTGAAAGGTCCTAATGGCTAGAGGGGGATGAATAGCCTATTAAAAATTTCTATAACAACACTTAACAAAGATGTTAGACAATTAAACGGTGAAGCGAATGTTGCGCTAGCCTACTAAAATGCAAGCCACTACCACAATTCTAGTGTCTATGATCTCTAAGCACACAATGGCTATATCACTACACTAAGTTAGTGTGCTCTCAAAGACTAACTAAAGAGCCACACTAACCACTAGACCCGTCAGAAGCTTGCTCTCAAAACTAATTACACTAAAGAGTGAAGCAACACTAGAAATGTAAATGCAAGGTAGGAGATATGATGATTATACCACCGTGTAGAGGAATTGAGCCAATCACAATGATGGAGCATATCAATCACAATGAATACCGGGAAATCCTCGGCCAAGATGACACAAGATTTTTTACTGAGGTTCACTTGCTTGCCGGTAAGCTAGTCCTCGTTGTGGCGATTCACTCACTTGGAGGTTCACGTGCTAATTGGCATCACACGCCAAACCCTCAATAGGGTGCCACACAACCCTTAGTGAAAATCAACTCCTTTACTTTACCAACTTCTCCACCCTTGCTCAAATGTGCCAACCACCAAGTGTATCACCTTGTGCACGTGTGTTAGCATATTTTCACAAACATTTTCAAGGGTGTTAACACTCCACTAGATCTAAATGCATATGCAATGAGTTAGAGCATCTAGTGGCACTTTGATAACCGCATTTCGATACGAGTTTCACCCATCTTAATAGTACAGCTATAGATCCTAAATGTGAGCACACTCGCTAAGTGTCTCGATCACCAAACCAAAAAGTTCCTATAAAGTTTCACCTTTGCCTTGAACTTTTTATTTTTCTCTTTCTTCTTTTCCAAGTCCAAGCACTTGATCATCACCATGGCATCACCATCATCATGATCTTCACCATTTGCTCCACACTTGGAATAGTGCTACCTATCTCATGATCACTTTGATAAACTAGGTTAGCACTTAGGGTTTCATCAATTCACCAAAATCAAACAAGAGCTTTCACACTCCAACAAGCGTGTCTCACTTGTTTGGGGATGCTTAAAATTGGGTAATCGCAAACACAATTTGCTTGTTTTGGCAGGAGCATCGGCCCTGTGTTGGGCAATCTAGCTCACACGAAATGATTTCATTTTTTACGAAAGTCAAAAACAAACTTTTTGCAGGTACTAGTTCGGGGGACATATTGGCTCCGATTCTAGACTCAATTACAGCGCTTGGATGAGCACAAGACTTCCATTGTGGAGGCATGTAGGCTTTGAGAGTCTAGTGCCATGTTTCTGTTTGCTTTTCATAGGTGGAGTTTCTCTTATCGTCTTGGACATTAGAAATGGTTCCCTAGTTTTTATCTTTAGTGTAAGTTTGTAATAATTGGTCTCATTCTTCCTCCTAGAGAAACGATGAAGTCGGAACTTTTGTTTCCATTATCTAAAAAACAAAAGTTGAGTGGATAGCTACAACAGCACTAGAAAATGATATCCTAGACTAGGGAAGGATTCCTTTGAAGATTTTGTAACAAGAACGCTAGGAGGATGGCACGTTTGATCTAACAAAGGTTGAGTGGAGTATTTGAGAGTTCTCGGAATTATCTGTTAGCAAGATGTAATCAAGAAATTATGTTATTAATAATTTGATATGACTGCGCACATGAAGATTTTTTATTGGAGATTATGTACCCACTGTAAGGCGATGAGAGCCATCGAAAATGCGTGTGGATCATTGCCATGGTTGGCCGGCCCTTGGGAGTCATTGGAAGCCAAAAAGAGTATGAAAAGGTAAGGAGCAAAAGGTATACGTGGGTACCATTCCAGCCTCTTGACCTCCTGTACAATCAAAGAAAAAGTCTGAACAGCAGAAATGGGCAACCAAGCAACCATGCATTCTGGTGGTAGTCCTGGACTTGTCGCAGCCGTTGGTTCGATAGATCCAATTCATCCCTCACCAACAGGCGGCAGCATCACGAATGGAACTTTTCAATAAAAAGATGCAGACGCAGGGCACGCGTCCTCTTTCGTTCCTCAATAAATCAATTTGTAGACTTGTTTTAAGTCAATTTTCTTATATTTAACTAATAACTTTATAGAAAACATCACAAATATTTATAATATCAAATGAACATATTATTTAGTGTTATAAATATTTGTGTTTTTTTTCTATAAATCTAGTTAAATAAAAAATATTTAATTTAAGATAACTCTAGGAATTGATTTATTTAGAAACAGATGAGTATTCTCCATGAATGTGCACCCCATGATCAAACTTTCGGCGATCAATAGGGCGCGTTGACAGAAAAAAAACGAAGATGAAGACATGCACTCCTGGTAGCATGAATGAAATTGAGCGCAGGACGTATATATTCTTGGGGGATAGCGTAAAGTAAAGAAAGATATATTCTTGGGGAATAATAATTAAAGAAAAGATAAGGCAACGACATGGAACTTGAATTATTGTTATGGGGTATCGATCGTATAGCTACTGTTCCATTCCAGCAATATATATCATGAAATGGATCCTCACTCGCCAAGTTGTACGCGTGTTGTCGCGACTGCGACAACGACGTGACCGTTGCCGTTGCGTGTGTGGAGAAAAATACGCAGAGGCTTGTGGCGGGCACGGGTCTTCCACGATCGCATGGTAAGCTACGGGACAGGGACGCCATTATTCCTACGGGACAGGGACGCCATTATTCCTGCCACCAGTATATATACACTGTAGTATGCCTCTCCCACTCCAAAGCGAAGCAGCAATCGCCTAGACCGACTGTGATCACACGGCACGCGGCCATGGTCGTCATGGGCAAGGAGGAGGAGAAGCAGCAGCAGGAGGTCCAAGAAGAAGCACGAGTCGTCGTCCAGCAGGAGACGACGGCGGATGAGGAGGCCGAGGCGGCGCTGGTGCACAAGATCTCCGGCCTGGCCGCCGCCATCGCGAAGCTGCCGTCGCTGAGCCCGTCGCCGGAGGTGAACGCGCTCTTCACTGACCTCGTGACGGCCTGCATCCCGCGCAGCACGGTGGACGTGGAGCACCTGGCCCCGGAGCTGCAGCGCATGCGCGCGTCGCTCATCCGCCTCTGCGCCGACGCCGAGGCCCTGCTGGAGGCGCACTACTCCGACCTGCTGGCGACCTTCGACAACCCGCTGGACCACCTGACGCTCTTCCCCTACTTCAGCAACTACCTGCTGCTGAGCCAGCTGGAGCACGGCCTGCTGGCGCACCACGTCCCGGGCCCGCGTCGCCTTCGTCGGCTCCGGCCCGCTCCCGCTCAGCTCCCTCGTGCTCGCGGCGCGCCACCTCCCCGCCGCCGCCTTCGACAACTACGACATCTGCGGGGATGCCAACGACCGGGCGCGCCGCCTCGTGAGCGCCGACGCCGCGCTCGCCGCGCGCATGGCGTTCCGCACCTCCGACGTGGCCGACGTCACCAGGGACCTGGCCGGATACGACGTCGTCTTCCTGGCGGCGCTTGTGGGCATGGCCGCCGAGGAGAAGGCCCGCGTGGTGGAGCACCTCGGGAAGCACATGGCCCCCGGCGCCGCGTTGGTGGTGCGGAGCGCGCACGGCGCGCGCGGGTTCCTGTACCCCGTCGTGGACCCCGAGGAGATCCGCCGGGGTGGCTTCGACGTGCTCGCCGTGCACCACCCGGAGGGGGAGGTGATCAACTCCGTCATCATCGCGCGCAAGCCTGTCCCCGCCGTCGACGCGCACGCCGTCGCTGGGATGGGGCACGCGCACGCGCACGGCGCCGTGCTCAGCCGGCCCTGCCTCTGCTGCGAGATGGAGGCCCGAGCGCACCAGAAGATGGAGGAGGTGGCCGTGGAGCAGCTGCCGTCCTAGGCAGGCACACGGCACACCACAAGATGGATTGCCCGCCCGGCCGCCCATTCAGTTGCATCTACCTGATCGATCGAGTAAACAGTAATCCCCTACTATGTCTATGTGTGTCCACACCACATGCATGGTCATAATCTGCAGGTTGACCTTGCTACTAGCTGGTGTATTATTACCGTCCCGTTTAACAGAGTCGAAGTCGAAGTCGAAACCGATGGAAGAAAAAAATAGTGGAGAGATAAAAAAAAAAAACAGAGTGCACCAAGGAGCCAAGGCCGGAGATCTACCAAAAAGAGCCTAATTTGTCCGTTAAAGTTACATGTGTGAGTGTGAGTGATGATGAAGTGGTTAATTAGTAGTAACTCCCGTGCTTAAATTGTCGTTTTGGGAGTGTTATTAGCACGTAAATGCATAAATACAGGCCACTCCGGTCCATTGGTTGTTTTGACGCGATATATATATGCATCATGGCCTTGATGTTTTGTCCGGCAAATGCTATGTTTCGAGCCTGGGCTTCCCGGCTATGCATGCGCTGTCAAGATAACTAATACGCGATTTTCAATTCACGGTGATTCGATGAGTTAGGTCAAAACAGGCAAGAAGCTTAATTTCGCCAAGCACTAATCCTGGAATGATTGGGAGTGCGTTAATGCGTGACCCGAGAGCGCGACCCCGACCCCCACGTCTTCCTCGCGCTCAGCCCCATCGTCTTCCTCGCCCTGCGCCTCACTCCTGCCTTCCGCGCCCGCCATAGCACCCCCGCTGCTCCATCCCACCCTCCACTAATCCCAATTGAAGGACAAGCTCTGACTCGTCACCCCCGCCACTGACCCAAGCCAACCGGTTGTCCAGCACCACCATGGGGCGCCACCGAGGTCGCCACTGGTCAAACCGCCACCACCGTCGGGTCAACTACCGCCTCTAGGCCCCTCCCCCTTCCAAGGGCGCCGGCCATGGATGTAACACCTTTGGTGTTACGAGCTCGCTAAGCACCGAGATTATGGTCTGAGAGATAGATCTAATAATATAGTGAGTTCGTTTACTTAGCGTAAAGAGGTGGTGATGAAAACTCAAAACAAAAAGAATAGAATGGGTTTTGTTAATTGTTGGCATGAAAACAATTTCTATGAACAACGACCAATTATAACTGGAGTATAGTGTGGAAATAAAGATTTAAGGGCAAGTTACGTAGCTGGGCATGCAATTTTAAATCTTGGAGAATAATAATGTCAGCTAGTATTTTTGGGAAGCTTGGAAATCGAATTGAAATTAAATCCACTCTTCACGGTTAAGTCAGCAAACAAATGATTATGCTTAAAGTGCTATCTTTGGTGAATTATATAGTGGAACGTACTTAAATAGTGCTTTAATATTTTGTTCCTATGAGTTAGTACGAAATATAGACTAGGTCATGGTATGTTAGTTAGTTGAAATTAATAAGGTTTAGACCCTTTGAAAATTACGGCTAAAGTGTTAAAAGTTGTAGATCAAACTGAACCCTTGACTTTTCTAAATCGAAAATGATAGACAATGTCATTTTTGGCATTTAAATTCCAACAAAATTGGTTAAGCGACACACCTATGTTTTTGCATGATTGGCTGCATCGAGGTGTGAACTTGAGCTTGGTGAAGGTTGTGGTTGCGTTTGAGTTGCTATGTTCACGCAAGTAGTGTCCGAACTACGTCAGAACGCGTTTTAGCTATGTCGTTGCCGCTCTATTCGTGAACTGCCGTTCAGCGCGACAAACCTACCTTGCCGCCTCTCCAACTTCCTCTCGGGGCATCCAGTGACGATGGCAATTGCTTCGTTAGCAAGTCGATAGTGCCAATTTGGGGTTCGTGGACTCGGTGGAGTTTTTGTCGAGCTAGTAAGTGAACTTTGGGCTGCTTTAAGAAGCGTGCAAGACGTCGTTCCAGGCTCTCGCCCTGAGTACCCCGGTCACCACGCGAGCACGCCGTCGTGGGCTGGCCGCTCCTAGCCGTGGCCGCTGCTCCGCTGGCCTCCCTCGCTGGCTCTGGCTGCACGCCGCACCGTGGGCTGTCATTTGTTCTTTGCCGCTCTCGGTCGCATGCCGTGTCCATGCTCGAGCCATCTTGTATTTGGTCGTCGTCTTCTGCTGCGCTTCTGATTGCTGCTGACGCATCTTGTTGCAGCTTGTGTGAGGCCGATGGCTACCACCAGCCAAGACCCACATCTTTAGTCGACGTGGCGCCCATCTCGACCACTCGATCCACCTACTGCCGAGCCGCTGCCTGTCTCCGCTGTCTCGTCGTGTTGCTGCCTTTATCGCGGAGCCGCTGCCCGCCTGCCATCGCTGATGTCAGAACCGTACCGCTCTGTGAGTTAAATTCGCGCTCCATGGAGCACCGCACCTCGATGCAATGCCCTAGTAGCTAGGTGTGGAAGCTAGCTAACAGTCCGTCCCGCACCAGGGCACAGCCAAGCTTTATTGCCGGCCAATTTTGAGTTTTGCTCGCCGCCGGTCCGTTTCACCGTCGTGTCTTGGTTTGGTTTACGGTGAGTCTCTTGTCACCGCTGTAGTTCATTTGATGGCCATACAAACTCACCATTGACCCCTCTATCTGTTGCTCGCCTCGACTTTGCCAGAACCTTCACCGGTGATGGGCTGACGCGTTGATGTCGCGCCCAGAGCGCCGCCGCGCGGTGCGGGTGCACGTGACCCGGTCACCTCGTCGCTTCCCCGTCTTATCCATCACCGCAGCTAGCCTCGGGGTAAGCTCCGGTTTCTCTCGCCTGATCCGTTATACTCATCGTAGCCCTAGTTCATCGGAGAAGGCGCGCCACCGTGGAGGTTTGCCCACCTGTGTGTGCAGCACACTGGGGGTTGTCGTTTAGCTTCAAATCACCGCTCTAGGTTTCGTCTTGGCCCTGCGGTGCTCGTAGATGGCGAGTATTGTGCGCGACGGTCGAAGCCACGCCTTTGTCTTGTGCGGGGGGTGTCGAGGACTGGCTTATTGTGAAGATAGGTTTGTTGGGGGTGCTCTCTGCAAAGGTTTTCTCTGGTGCAATAGTACTCGGAGGCGCCGTATAATATTCAGGTAGGCTAGGGGCTATTTTACAAAAAGCACGGCGCAGTCGTGGGCTCCCCCGCCTTGGGCCGCTGCTGGGCCAGCTGCCATGTGCGCCGCAGGGGCCGATATGGTTGCTGCCGGCCTCTTTTTCTTTTCTAGCATTTTCTAATTTAGTTTCTAAGGCAAATTGTAAATTCAATATAAATTTGTGCAGTGGACCAAAAATTATGAAACCAATTTTGTTAAGCTTCTAAAATCATGCTCTATCTGCTAGTGTACTTGGTTCACGTGGTTCTAAAATATTTCAAGGATGCTTTAAATGTTTTATCATGCTCTAAAATTATTAAAATATGAACTTGTAGGAATTTTTGTGGCAAAATAATGATAGTGTTAGCTTTGAAAATTTTATAGTAGCTTCACAATATTATTATGTGCTTTCTGTAATTTTTGTGGCTCCAGAATAATTAGTTTGCTAGAATACCTATTAAGCCCTGGTTTGAAAATATATTAAATCAATAAAATGAATTAAGGATATATCTGGGGATTTTGTAGCTAAAATACTTATTGGAAAGTAATGCCTCGCCCGACAACAAGGATACATAGCCTTGTACGTTAGTCGCTAGAGCCAGCTCGTTAGTTTAGCAGCATAATCATATTTTAGAGTTGCGATTGTTGTGATCATTTACGTTTCTGCGTTGCATGCACGTATATCATAATAGGAACAACGATGGATCATGAAGTCGACCGAAGTAGCAGAAGCAGATTGTGACTTGATGATCATGCCACCATGATGAAAAGCTAACTTGGTTATATTTTACCCAGACAAGCCCCGGTGCATAATCCCTATTATTCTGCACTTTATTTTATGCTTGTGCATTAAGTTTAAGGAGTTGAATGAAACATATATATATATATCCTTATCCTATGAGTCTTACTAGTATGACAGGATCATGTAGATTGCTATGCTACAGGACTCCAGTAGAAGTCGAGTGATTGTCTATCACTCGCGAGAGATAGGAAAGATATTATTGTTGTTATTATATTACTATCACATGGAATATATATGAATGAAAATTAGAGACCGGGCATAATGATACTTTGGATCTGAACTTAGTTTGGCATTCGAGCGAGGCTCGGATTGCACTTGTTCCGCCTGTGTCGGTTAAGGACCATCCGTTGTATTGGATTCTAGTCAGGTTACAGACTTATTATCCTGAACACATACTTGCTTATAGGGGCGGGAAGGCTCGTTGCTCTCTTATCGTGGGTTGCGGCTCTTTTCGGACCGACTGATTGAAGGTGGGGATGGTGAAGGTCTAAGCACCACATTGAGTCCGGGACTCAGGTGTGGGGGCTTGGAGTCCAAGTTGGAACGGGGACCTAGACCCCTTGACAGGAGAGTGGTGGGTTGGTCCTGCTTGTGCCTGGGGTACAAGCGAGGCGTGTGTTTTAGGGTACCCAGCTGGGATACATTGGTTCGCGAATCGCCGTGTAATACGGTACGGCTTGGCTACGATCTAGCACCGTAGTAAGAACTAGAACATGAAAGATGTTAAAATGGTTCTGATTGCTTACCACCTGCTTGAAAGTAGCACAGGTGCTTACATAGAATGGTTAGTTAATGAACTAATGATGACTGCTAATGAAATTGAATATAAGGATGCATGCTTAGTAATGCTTCATGTAGATGCAATAACCCACAAGCCAAATAGCATTGCATATCTTTGGAGTCTTTTATTTCCTCCTGACGGGTAAGCCTTGTGGAGTACAATTGAGTACTCAGGGTTTGTTCTACCCTGTTGCAGGCGACAGGAACATGTGGAGCTAACACTTGTGTGTGGAAACCTCTTGGTGGGCTCAGCGAGGATTTCCTTAACGTTACGGGCATAGAGTTTATTTGAAACTTCCACCCAAAATGTTTTACAATGGAAAAACTTACAACCTGTTATGATGTATATAATGGATCATCTTGT